GAGCCCGCAACCCGGGCATGTGCCCTGACCAGGAATCGAACCTCGGTCTCCTGGATCCTAGGTCGATGCTCAGCCACTGAGCTGCGCCAGCCGGGCTTGAAGTATTCCTTTTTTTAAAAAAAGGAAGTTTTTATTGATTTTAAGAGAGGGAGGGAGAGGGTAAGAGAGAAACATGGATGCGAGAGAGAAACATCCATCGGCTGCCTCCCACACCCACCTGTACCGGCACCAAACATGCAACCCGGGCATGTGCCTGGATGAGTAACTGCACCACCGGCCCTTCCGTGCACTGATGACGTTCAACCAACTCAGCCACGGGGGCCAGGGCTTGAAGTAGTCGTAGAAAATCACTTACATACTACTGCTCGTACAACTAGAAAGTTAAAACTTTTCATCTTCCTGAGGACACCCAAAATACAAACATGTATTTTTACAAGGCTATAAGCTGCATCATTATTTGTAACTGTAATATATTGGAGACAACCTAAATGCCCAGCATAGGAGAATGGCTGACTTCACTGTGACACATCCACAAATGGGAGTACTATGAAACTTCTAAAAATAATAAGGAAAATTTCTACAAACACAAGAGTGCTATTCAAAACATACAGTTAAATGAAAAAAGCAAAGTCCAAAGGAGTATACTTAGTTTGCTACCTTTAGTGAGAGAAAATAAGAAAAGGTTCCTATATCTGCTTTTTTTATATAAAGAAAAACACAGGAAGGATAAATCAGAATAATTGGTTATCTACAACGGGTGAGTGGAAATGAGTGGAAGGGTTGGGTAGTTAACACTTCTAGGTATAGTTTTAACTTTTGGAAATATGCTAATTTTTTTATATACTCAAAAAGTAAATTAAAACCAGCAAGGATGAGGTGAAAAAAATCTAAAATGGAAATCAAACACAAACAAGTGAGCTTAACTGTGTGTCAAACAAATAAGTGTATTAAAAGGAGGGAAACTGACCCAAATAACTTTTGAACATAATACTTCATATATTGCCAGTATACAGACAAAATGACCTGTAAAAAAATAATGAACTCTAGCTGTAAGGGTTTTCTTTGCAGTGGTATGGGCTAGCAGCTCTGGAACTACTTTCTCTGATTATGGCATCGAGCAAATGAGTACATATGTTTGGGGATAATGGGAACCAGATTCTCAGTGTTGGGAAAGGGCACGGCAAATAAGGAAAGGGGCAGGGCTCTCTGTGGTGTGGAACTGGAATTATAGGCATCAATCTAAACTACTGTTTTATATACACACAGGTATAGACATGTCTATTTGTATTTTGTAGCTCTTATCCACTGAGCGATCTTGTAGGGGAGAAAAGAAAACTTTTCCTCATAGAAAACCAACTAATATGTTTAGAAAAAATATAAGTTAGAAGATCAACATCTTGCAACCATCCTAAGAATAACTGATTCAGTCAAGAATCATCAGTGTATGCTAAGTTTAGGCGAAAATTTGGTAAGGGACAGTACACACACACACACACACACACACACACACACACACATACACACAGGGTGGGGCAAAAGTAGGTTTACAGTTTTTCATGTGGAAAATAATACAATAATAAATAATAATACAAGAAAAAACTTTCTCATACTACTATAAACCTACTTTTGCCCCACCGTGTGTGTGTGTGTGTGTGTGTGTGTATAATCTCAAAGTCTCTCCCACTAATTACTTATTAATAACAAAGAGAAAAATAGTAACTTTACAGTGGAAAGTTACTTGCAAATATTACCTTAATAAAGTAATCAAAGTTAAAAGGTGAAGGAATTAAGCAACAACAACAAATAAAACTTCACAGACACAGACAATAGCAAGGTGATTACCAAAGGGGAGGGGGGATGAGGGGAGGTAGAAGAGGGTATGGGGGGATAAATGGTGATGGAAGAGGCTTGGCATGGGGTGGTGAACACAAAATATAATATACAGATGATGTATTACAGAATTGTACACCTGAAATCTATATCATTTTATTAACCTATGTCACCCCAATAAATTCAATTTGAAAAATAAAATTAAAAAATTAATTCAATTTTAAAAATTAAGTTAAAAAATAATCTAAGTTAACATCACCAAAAATGAGACAACCAGCATCATACACCCCTTTGTATACGCTCTGAGGACACAGTATTACTTCTGTAGTATTTCTACCAAAACAGTGCATGACCTGAACCAAACCATGAGGAAACATTAGAAAAACTCAAATTGAGAGACATTCTAGAAAGTCCCTGGCCTGTGTTCTTCAAAAATATCAAAATGTGAAAGACAAAGGCTAAGGAACTGCTCTAAATCAGAGGAGACTAAAGAGTCATGACAACAAATGAAATGCATGGTCCTGGGTTAGAGCCAGGAAAGGTGAAGGGGGAACAAAAAAGGAAACAGCTATAAAGGGCACTATATAAAAAACACAGGACAAGTGGAGAAGCTGAGTATGGAACGTGCATTAGCTAATACTATTGCATCAGTATTAAATGTCCTGATTTTGACCAATATCTTGTGTTACTGAAAAGAAAGTCCTTGTTCTTGGAGGAAAAAAACAAAGCTAAAGTATAGATAAGGGAGCATTCTATCTGCAAATTACTGGGGAGGGGGGTGTATATAAACAGAAGGTGCATTCGTAAGTGATAAAACACATGAGGCAAAATGTTGACAATTGGTGAATCTAGGTAAAGAGTACATGGGAGTTCTTTGTATTATTCTTAGCAATATTTCTTTAAGAGTGAAATTACTATATCAAAATAAAAAGATTTTTTGGGATAAAAAAATTTATTCTTTACTTCCAATTAAGAACATACTTTTTTTTTTTTTTTACTAAAACACAAGGGAAAGGGTTCAAATACCAACATGCAGAGCCAAAGAGTCCTATAAACCTGGCATTAACTTCCCTTTATTGGCAGATGATGAACTAATCCAGTAAAAATATGACAACACATTAACTGCAGTAGCCCAAATGACCTTACAACTATGTTTCTTTCACACATCCACAGCCTGGCTTGTCAAGCAGAGTCAAACCCTCTGGCTTACCTACTCTCTCTGCTGACTTATCAGCAATAATATTTTGCTCAATTTATAAGAGAAGGTCAATCAGAGTTTGAACTTTTACTCAAATAGAGTAATGTAAAATTTCAGTCCTAGTGATTTAACTTTCTGAATGACAACTAGTAAGATCCATTTTGATAGGACAAAGCATTTTGCCCTAAAAACTGGATTAGATATATTTCATCTAAAAATAGACACCAACTTAAACAGGGCAGACCAACTTCTCTCTTATCTCCTTTCCTTCCTAACATCCCACTAAAATGACAGTAGAGGAATTAAATAGCTGTTAACTCACAAGGATAAAGAGAACACGTGAGGCATGTTCAAAAGTAGACAAAAGATTTCAACACGTTTTTGGAAGTCATAAAGGAGTTAGAGGAGCAGTAACAATCTTAGTGCAAAAGAAACTACAATCTAAATGCCAGCCGAGAAGAACGCAGACAAGAGGCGGCTCAGGGACACTGGGCATAGCAGACAACAAGGGTAGGGATGGGACTGAAAACAGCAGTCTAAGGGCAGTAAGAAGCACTTATATCATGGAACTTCCTGCACCCTTTGTCAGAACATCAGTTCCCAGAGGAAAGACTTAAAAACTAAATGGTACTTTAAAGAGTCTCCATACAGACATCTTGAGTGCTTCCTCCAATGAAGGTGGTGGCCTGCTCCCCCACCTCAAGGTGAAGTGCACTGAAGACAAGCCCTACCCATTTACAGAGCTTTTTAGTGCCTCCCTCTTGTATGAAAAGACAAAGATAAAACAGATCCTTGAAGAAACCTCTAGTCTGACAGAATCATTTTAAAAATAAAAAGAACCCAGAGGGAACAGAAACAATGCAAGGAGCAAGGAAAACTTTAAAACAAACTCAAAAACTCTGTAGTAGTAAGAAAAAATACTGCAAAACAGCAGCAACAGAACGTATGAAAAAGCAATGGTCAGAAAAATGAGAAAAGGCTCTTGAAAATTAAAAGTAAGATTATCAAAATTCAATGGAAGGGTGGAAGAAAAAATCAAGGAAATATCTTAGAACTAGAACCAAAAGGCAGGATATTATGGGTTTTACCCAGGACACCCAACATTCAATTAACAGCAGTTCCAGAAAGAAAAAGTACAAATTAGGAGATGTACATATGGAAGAATGAGTGTGCTATCAGACGTATAGATTGAAGGTCCCTTGAGTACCCATCACAATAATGGGAAACTGACCATGCCAAGACGCGTCATTTTGATACTTCAGAAAACCAAAGATAAAATGACTATTCTAAAAGCTTCCAGGAAGAATTAAAGGAGATATATATGAAGAAACAGTAATCAGAAAGGCATCAGGTTTCTCAACAGCAACACTGGAAGCCTAAAAACAAAAGAACAATGGTCTCATAATTCTAAGAGAAAAATCTTTTCTAATAGTCCATAGTCAGACAAGCAATTAAGTATAAAGGTAGATTAAAGTATCGGACTTGCATAGGGTCAAAAAGTAACCTCCTATGAGAAGAGAGCTCAATGATGCGCTCCAGCAAAACAGTTTAATAAACCAACAAAGAGGAAGACATGGGATCCAGGAAACAGATCTAATACAAGAGAACGGCAAGTGAATCACAGGATGAGAGCTATCCAGTAGACCCAGAGAACAATTAGTTCAAATCAGAGCAGAGGGATCTAGAAAAGAGGTCTCCAGAAAAAAACAGTGCTAAGAGATTATCTGCTTAAGTGCTTGGAAAATAATATTCATAGACATTTGGCAGACTTATAGGTACACTTGGGAGAAACACATAGAAGGTGAACTAAGCAATTTTTTAGAAAGGCAATTATTTACTCAAGGAAAAATAAAATGCTGGACAAAAAAGAAAAAGTAATCACCATATTAATCAGAACTTTTAATCAAATTACATTGAGAAATGGAGAGGGGAGCAGAAGGAAGGGTGGTGCAACCACAAATGTCCCATTTACCATAGCAAGATGTCAAGAGATAATGCCTAAAAATGACAAATTAAGAAATAACAGTGTATTACTTAGAAGTATGCAGGTAAATATGAGCGAGAAAGCTAAGTAGGGCTTGAAGTGGTTGTCTGTGGACAGCAGGACTGAGGGTGGAATGGAGGGAGACTGCTGTTCTGTTTTAAACCTTTTGATACTATGACTTACTGTTTATATGTATTACTTTTTGAAAGCATAAATTAATCTTTGAAAAGTAAACTGATATAACAGTCATAACAATTCATGAGACTGCCCAAACCATTATCTTAAAAAAAAAGGGGGGGGGGCATGTCTAAAATTCACTATATGTAGCATAAAAATCACAATAGCAGTTTATCATTTGGGGCCAATTCCCTATATACTGTAAAAGCTAATTTGCAGAGCTAATGGTATGTGTCCTCTACTAGAGAATATAATTTCAAAGCTGGCCAAAATTTGTCATCTATATGTTAACAGATCCAGATACCTACAGAGCCAGAAAAGAAAGGGCATCTGGTCCTGCTGACTTCCCACACAGAGGCAAATTCTGATTCACAAGGCTGGTTCCCCTTACTGGTTCAAGCATTTTACTCTATTTTGAAATGGATTTGTGAAATCAGTATTTAACATCAAATGAAAACAACATATGGAAACAATGTATGTGAAACTACATATTCTCAAGAACTGTAATGCACTAAACAAATTTGTTATTATTAGTTGTGTCACAAACTCAGATTTGTTCAGACCTAATATGGGGAAAAACACCTAATGAAGCTATTATGCTATATACTCTACCAGTCCTCAGCTAAATACTGGACCTGTGCCCCTACCTCCAAATGAGGGGAAAGGGTACTGGGAGGAAGGGTTAAAGCTACTGAAGCCACAGTAGATTACAAAATCAGAGTCAAAATGGGCCACTTTTGCCTTTGAAAGACCAGACACAAATAACTACAGAAAAATTACCAGTTTACATTGTTTTGAAAATAACTTTCCCTATGAAGCTGATTATGTAAAGAATGAACACAAAAGCCATGAATTGCTTAAGAAAAATTCTGACATCCAATATTTTCATTTAGTTAATATAGCAAGATCTGATGCAACTGCACGCTTTTGCCAACAACCTGAGTAAGCAAAGCCAAGGTTAAACAGCAATGGGATCTTCAAAAGAAATGAATCAAATCATAAATGTAAACACCACACAACTATTATTTCAATATAATAGCAAGTGTATGCAATGTAAGAAAAGATTCTTAGGTATATATTTTTATAGGAAGCACTCCCTCCCATAAATAAATAAAATAATTCAGCGGTTTAGGTACCTCTTATTATCAGACTTTACTCAGAGAACAATGTGTTTAATATCTACATTGTACAATTCTCTTCCTAGTTTTTTTGTAATTATATAATAAAGGTTAGTGCTAAAGCACAAAGTGGGGGCGAGGAGAATCACCACACGTGTATTTACTGTTGTGCTGGAAAACTATTCTTTTAAAATCAATGGGACTATTTATGAAGAAGTGGGAAATATACATATAACAACTGGGCAGAGACTTATACTCTGCTTAAAGGGCTAGATACCCAATATTACCAAAAATAAGCACCAGCAAACTCCAATCACTGTTCCAATTATTTAATAAAAACAAAGAGTTGGAATTTTTTTATGACCAATAGGCATAATTTTAAAATCTGACACACATTTCCCCAAGAATCTCCATTAATTATTCAAAGGAAGAAAAACACAAAAGCCTGAAAAAAATACCTTTTACATGAGGCTCTAAAAAGACTACTATATACAGACAAAACACTTGAAATAACTGAAATGAAACTGATACATTTAAGCTCTCAGAATTATATTTTCATGGCATGGCCCTGGCCAGGTGGCCAGTTGGTTGGAGTACTGTCCCGTACATTAAAAAGGTTGTGGGTTTGATGCCCAAATGTGGCACATACGGGAGGCAACCAATTGATGTCTGTCTGTCTCTCTCTCTCAAATCGATAAAAGAATATATCCTTGGGTGAGGATTAAAAATGTAAATTCTTGCCCGGCCGAGCGTGGCTCAGCGGTTGAGGGTCGACCTAGGATCCAGGCGATCAGGGTTCGATTCCCGGTCAGGGCACATGCCCGGGTTGCGGGCTCGATCAATGACTCTCTCATCATTGATGTTTCTATCTCTCTCTCTCCCTCTCCTCTCCCTTCTCTGAAATCAATAAAGATATATTTAAAAAAAAAAAAAAAGATTTAAAAAAAAAAAGTAAATTCTCATGGCATGAGCACTGGCAGCTACTTCATACACATAAGGTGAAGCTTGAGTTCTTAGTTGTTGCAGAGCAATTTTTCCAATGTTAACACATCTACCAACATTAAGAATAATTCAGGTGGAAACTAGAGTTAATCTCAATTAAGTCAAAGGACATTTACTATATGACACTAAAAAGATATATAGACACACACATTAATAATCAACACGTGTCATCCACAAAGTTTTTAAGTTATATAGGAGTTCTTTTTTTTAAATATTATATCAGAACATTTCTCTAACATTTTATCTATCAATTACCCCAGGGAAATATTCTATCACAAAAATTTGTTTCCTAAAAGTTTCAGCATGATCTTCACAACTTTGATCAAGATAGTATAATCCCAATGTTGTGCAACTATCTTCAAAACTAAGGAATGGACAATAATGTATTCTTGCAAAAAGAAAACCCAAGCATGATGAGTAAGGGCAAAGATTTAAAGAAGCTAAAACAATAAGTGTACTATCTCATAATCAGTTAAATTAAACCTGCAGGAAGAATAGTTTAACGCCAGTCTGTTCTTCCTGGAGCTGAGATAGTACAAGAACAGTCCATAAAATTAAGAGACTTCTGGGTGGGTCAAGGGTGAACAGGCAAGCAGATTTCTATGAGGCTGCCTTAAACCCAGCTAGAACAAAGAAAAATATCAGGACAGAACATCTACTCAAAATGGAAAACAGCCCACTGGTAGAGCTTTTCAATCGTAAAGCAGAGTACAAAGTCTCCAGATAAAATCCACTTGGTTGTAATATCTTTTCAGAGATACAAGCTAGTTCCTTAAAAATAAACTCTCAATTCCCTCCTCAAAGAGGTCTTATAAAATTTAATTAGCTAGCATTTATTTAACTGTGAGAATTTTGCTAACACAAACAACTAATAAATACAACTATAAACTTCATTTTTCAATGTCCAAGTTTAAATTCAAAAGTTTTCAAAATCTGAAATTTCCTTTTAAGCACATCTGCATTTTATACATCTGTAAATAGCACACACACATCTACTTTTCAGTGTATCTTAAGAAGAGAGGGAAATGTGTTTTAAGCTTTGCAGTCTAAAGACTATAATTAACTTTTACAAGAAAGACAATTGGAAAATCTTAGAATATAACTAAATGGGACCAACAAAGTGCACTGCCTAAAAACAAAGATTCCAATAACCTCTGAGCTACCAGGGGAAAAAGCTAAATTCAGCATTGTAAGAATTTTCTTCTCCCAACCCACAGCGAACTACCTCCAAGAAGAACTTCTACCAGAAACAAAATTTAAAAATGGGTGGGGCAACTTCAAGAACAGAAGCTCATTTAAAAAATAACCAAGAGCTAACTGCACTTTATCCACTGCTCTACTGAGAAGACTAGTTTGTTATATCTGAAGTAACACGAATAGCCCACAGAAAGATTAGATCTGAACTGTAAGGAAGTAAAGACATTCAAAAACAGTTTCCTACCTACTGTACTACCAACCTTGTCGCAACCCGCCTTCACTTTTATCAATAAGCAGGGGGAGGAAGAGCTCATCAAATGCAGAATTTAAATAAATTATTTTCAAAATTTAAAATGCATTTTTATGCCAAGAATCTTCAAAGGGATTTTTTCAAATATGTTTCCAAACACTTTAAATCCTTTAAATGATCAAGCATTAAGTTACTGGATGACAAAATAGAGACAACCTAAAAGTATGGTTTGAATGGCATTTGAATTTAAGCTTTGGGCTCTGTCTACTACCCTCCTCCTCCCCCAAGCATCTTAAGCAACTCTCTTGATCTTTCTCAGTTTCACAATCTCTAAAACGGGAAAAGCTGCAAGGATGGATAGTTAATTAAATTAGGAATAAATGCTGGCAAACTGCTTTGAAGTTACTTTATGCTGTTCTCAGTTCTCCTCCTACTCAGTAAAACTAATAGACAAGAAAACATCTGGAATTACTATAGATACTAACATCTGCAGACTCACAGCAGTTTAAAAGATGATCTCTGTTTACAAGCTTCTAAGCCAAAGTTCATTCAACAACCCCGAAGATTTCAGGATACAATTGCAAGGAACAACTTTTAGGTAAATTTCCTTTCAGTCTGAAAGTTACTGACTCGTACCTACATTCTCTAAACAGGCTAATACGAATCACAGAGCATCCTGAGCAGTCTTGGCACAAAACAACTCTAGGTAAGATGAACAAGCTGTTACTGTTGTTAATGCTATTTTCAGCATTCTAAACTGTCAATCCAGGTAAGCTTGGTCACAAATAACACCCTCCAAAAAGCACCAGTCCCTGCTGAGAATCTAAGTACTTCCTTCTAAGCCATCTGTCCAGGAAAGCTCTATTAAAACACCTAGAATGCAGTTACTCTCAGTGCAAAGGAGCTAAGAATAAACATAAAACACGAAAACACACTGAGCCCTATACGTTTCCACTTGAAACACTGGTGACCTACCTACCCAAGTCTACTCCGATGCCTAGGTTGAATACAAAACCCACAGGCAGGTTGGTCAGAAACGGCAGCTTAATCAAGGGAGGCTAATATTTTTTTTCTAAGAAGGAAGATATATAAAATAGCTCAAGAAGAGGGGGAGCGCAAAAAGAAAAAAACAAAGCAGGTTAGGAGGAAATGTACATGTAAATTACTCCCTAATGGAGAAAGACGCAATTAAATTTTAAAACAGGAATTTAAATTACTCGGTGAGCTACAAACTCAATTACTCACTGTTCTCCTTACTGAGCTACAAACACTATAAAAACGTAAGTATCTCTAAATCTAATTTGCAGGATCCAAAATTAATCTATTATATTCTAGTAAAGAAGGAAGTTGCATTAATTTCAAAGAGGAAAAAGTAGGATGTTCTGAGAGGCTAAGGCTACTGCTGTAAAAGCAAAGAATGATGAGAATGAATCATTTTGAGAATAAAGGATTAACGGTAAAGTAAAACAAAGAGTTCAAATTCTCCCCTCAATCCCATTCTTTCTCCCGCTTGGGGCGTGAAGGATCTTCTTTGTATACTACTAAGAAGACTATTTAGAAAATAACTTCTGATTAAAACTTTTCCACAACAGCAAAATACTAAACTCAATCCCTAGACTGCAGCCTCCTCAAAAAAACTCATGGAGCACATTCTAAATTCCAGCTCTTTCATATCTATTACTAATTATTCAGAGTCTATGGAAATATGGTGAGGTCACCTTAAGGTTCTGGGGTGGTGTGGGAGGAATACTACTGCCAGAAAAACTAGAAAGAAAATTACATTTGACTGAAGCTTACAAATATTACCTTTAAAAAGTTTAAATTCTTCAGAAAAGTAAGCAAAATTAAAATATTACCTTTAGAATTAATGTGAAAAAAGTATCACCTGCCCACTGATTTTTAACTGCCTTATTCACATTTACTACTACAATGTCTATCTCCCCATCTATAAACACAATGTCAAAAGAACACAAATTCATTGTGATAACAACACCGCAGATGGTCATGTGCTGATAATCCAGTCAAAGTTTACAGACTAAAATACTGGAAGTGAGGGCAGGTGAAAGCATTATGGGGGGAAGTTCACTTACTTTGCATTTATTTTCAACATAAAGTTAAAGAGCATTCCAGCCACGAGCTAAATGGAAGAAAATCTCTTCATTATTTAAGCACGTATTTACTGTCTTATTATGTGCTAGGCACTTAATACATACTTCATAGAGTGTTACTAAAGAGCAATAAATGCATTTGACCTAAAGAACAAATGACTGACCCCATCTAGAAAATTTAGTCTACTGAGAATACAAGAGTCCTCTTCAGATGTAGGTTGTAAGAGAAATGTGACACAAAATAACCCATCACTCCATCAAGATGATTTCTTACCTTTGTTACAAATTACAAATTTATTACCACTGAAAAGTGATACTTCATCCTACTAAATGGATCTTCAAAAATAGGGTTTATTTCCAATATCCACCCAAACCTGGCGAACATTTACTTGATCTACCTTTAACTTTTCTTGAGTAACGTGAGGGGAATTGTGTACTAGAAACCTATAAAAAGGCATAAACAACTCTTCGAAGAATTAATCAGGGAAAATTTCTGATGCCTGTGCTATTAAAATATTTCCACTTTAAACTGGCTAACCCAAACCCTGAAGTTCAAATGCCTGATCTTCAGCCTTTTTTAGTTATTAAAAACAGTTGTGTTTAGGTCATCGTTTTGGTTTTTTTATTAAACAATTTGTGTTTTTCCCCCTGTATTTTGCCACTGGTTCAAGTCTTCTATCCACAGAAATAAGAAATGCCTAAGCCTCCAGCTTCTGAATATAACATCTGG